TGGTATGCCCATACCACCAAGAACTTGCCACAACTTATTATGATCCACACAATCAAAGGCTTTAGAATAGATTTAAAAAAAAAACTCCCTGCCTTTCTCCATTATCCAGCAGATATTGGCAATATGGTCTCTCATTCCTCTGCCTTTTCTAAATATCTCTGGTTGTACTGGTCCATTTAGTTTTCTTGGCAAGAATACTGGGGTGGTATGCCATTGCCTTCCCCAGGGATCGTGCTTTATTTTATGTATTCTCAATCTCATGAGTACAAATGCAGATCCGGATGGAAAAGAGAGATACAGACCAAAATATGCACAGAGTAATAGAAACTTAGTTTGAATTTTAATATACTGATGCATATATTCCAAAAAATATATAAAAAGTTTATTTGTGTAATATTTTTTCTAGGAACTCCATTCCACAGCCCTGCATAAAGTAAGACAGTAAAGCAGCATGAGGAATATCTGGCATTTTCACAGAACATGTGGATGGGAGTTCTATACAATAACTCCCATAGTACAATGACTATGAAATACATTCATATGTGTTTACATTTGGTTCTATATTTAGCATTTGGAGCAGATTGAAAACTGTTGTAGAAATGCTTCTGATAAGAGAGGCAGCATTGACTACTCACAGGGAACCTTGGAGAGCTTTACAAACCCATTTTGGGGAAGGACTATCAAATGATGCCTTATCTAAGCCATTTTAGGTCTACTGGGAGCCTTTATCCAGCTGCAAGTGCTCTGGAAACCAAGGATTTGTCAAAATTGTCCACATGCTTCTCTAGAGGGACACACAAATATTGTGTTTCTTTCACAATGGACAACTAGGGAGAATCATAGTGCTACAAATGTTTAATGTGAAAGAGACTAATCGGACAGGAAAAGCTTCAGCTATATAATTTCTGCCCATCAGTGCTACTGCCAAAGGCTAAGAAAAAGAAACAGATGTGGCTGCTTTTTTAAAAATGCCACTGTATAGTATCATAGGCTGCTTCATCACTTACAGCAATGGTTCTCAACCTGTGGGTCTCCAGATGTTTTGGCCTACAACTCCCAGAAATCCCAGCTAGTCTTCCAGCTGTTAGGATTTCTGGGAGTTGAAGGCCAACACATCTGGGAACCCACAGGTTGAGAACCACTGATTTACAGAATAGTACTGATGTGAAGGTATGGATGAGCTGTTCAAAATATATATCTTCCCTATCACCTGATGATACCTCAAACAATAGTTTTCAGTAGAAAACATTCACACTTTCATTCAAGTGCCAAGATTGCTATACCTGTTTTGTCTGAACTCGTTGACCCCTTTAATAGCACCTTTGCTTTCTAAGAGAGGATCCATCCCTGTAAATACATTCTGCTAGTTCACACCAATATACTAGCATCACAACCAGGTACTAATTTCTTATGGCAATCTGATGTGTGCCACGGTAGTGACCCACTTCTTCAGAGAATATTGTAAAATCCCAGGTTGAGCAGGCCATATCATGTGTGATCTATTACCCTTGTGCTAAGCCATTCAACCTGTGTAAAACTGTGAGCATAAATGTCTACACATTACAAGCCAAGAGAATTCCTTTATGTGAGTTGTGAACATGGATTTATAATCCTGCAACGCTCCTGTTTGTCATGAGTCTAACCAGTGGAAAGAAACATCCTAGTAGACTGAGATCCAGCTATACTACAGACATCAAAGTTTCATCTGTTAACTTTCCCATATTAGCAAGTTCTAACACACTTCTACATTCTGAATGAGATTGAGTGCCCTTCACGCAAATCCCAACCCAGTGACTTATCCATTCCAAGCAGTTCAAATTGGATAACTGGATTCAAAACAGCCTACAAAGTTCTACTCTTACAGCAATTCTTTTTAATGTTGTTCAGCTGCTCTCCATTATTGGCAAGTTAGTGCAATGTATCATATATATATATTTAGTTGTCTAGCACCAAGTGGCAGGATGGATCAGTTTTGATCCATGTTAGATAGGGATTTGGAAAGGGAGGAAAAGTAAGAAACCATCAAGTAAAACACAGGTGCCTGGATTATCAATGAAAAATTGCAAAAACTACTCTGCTGTACATGTTTAAAGTGTGAGAGAGGGAAAGAGCTTCTGCAAAGGAAATTCTAAGCCTCCAGAGAAATACATGGAAAGCTTCCCTTTGAGATACATTATGGCTTGAAATAACAATTGGATCCCCCCTCCCCAACATCTGAAAGTGGTGAGGGGCTGCTGTGTAGTAACAGATCATATGATTTTGCCTTTGAAGGTCCAACATTCAGTCTGGGGTGAAAACGGTAGCAAAGTGTTGGGATATAGAGAATGACCCACAGCATAAGAATCAGAACAGTAATCACAGAACTGGACGTACCAACAGCCTTGATTCAGGTAATGTGTTCCCGTGATAAAATCAACATTGTGCATGGTAACCTATTGTTATCAGACCAGCTATCCTTTCTTCTTATTCTTTTTTTAATCTAGGCAAAGACAATGAAGGAAAACAGTCAGTGACTGGGAATGTCAGCAGTGAAGGTGCCATGACACCCCCTTCCAACACTTTGGCAAAATATTTCCAGCTACAGGGCATTTGTTATGGTAGCCCACCACTAGGGGTGCTTCCAGCTAAGGCTTTTCTTCTGCAGTCACCCTACTTAAAACATATTCTCTTCCATTTCCCACCTTCCATTTTCCCCCTCTTTTTCTTGCAACAAAATAATCCATCAAAGGACATCACGTTGCAAAGTGCCTTTAGCACCAGGCTGTGCCATCACTGAGGAAAGAAAGGTCCAGATTGTATCATTCCTGAAAACTATATCTGCTACAGAAATTATTCTTTGTTTATGTTATTCTTACATATAAAGAGAACTAATTTTGAAACTATTTCCCATGCTGGTTAAAATTAAATGTGTCAGGGTTGGGGGAGAGGGTGCTTTTTTTAAAAAAACTTCAGGAGCCTATGCATGGGTGTGTGTGTGTGTATATATATATATAGAGAGAGAGAGAGAGAGAGAGAGAGAGAGAGAGAGAGAGAGACATGAGAGAAGCCTCCCACAAGGATGATAAAAATATGAAATCATCTGGGCGTCCCCTGGGCAACGTTGTTGCAGACGGCCAATTCTCTCACACCAGAAGCGACTTGCCGTTTCTCAAGTTGCTCCTGACACGACTCTCTCTCTCTCTCTCTCTCTCTCTCTCTCTCTCTCTCTATATATATATATATATATATATATATATGTATATAGTTGTGTGTGTGTATACATATATATTGCAGAAACACCCAATTTTAAGATAGAAAATTGTGTTTTGAGCTAAAACCTTCTGTGCAGAATGTTGGATTTTTGCACATTGGGGCATAAAGTCCAATCTACTTGTGCAAACTGAATTGCATTTTCTAGTGAGAGATCTTGATGTTTTAGCATACCCTTTGTTGCCAAGGACAAGAAAATCTGCAAATATCCTTCATGCCTCTGCACTATAGTTCCATTTTGAGTTTAAAGTTGTGACTGCCACTGCAACTGTCTCATACAATGATTGGACCATCACAAAACAGCAGTAATTGCAATCTGGTTTAAGGTACAGTATATTCTGGCGTATAAGACTACTTTTTAACCCAAGAAAATCTTCTCAAAAGTCAGGGGTCTTCTTATACGCGGGTGTAGTCTTATGCATGGGAGTCATCTTAACTCTATATTTTAACTGGAAAAGTTGGGGGTCGTCTTATACGCCCAGTCGTCTTATATGCCGGAATATACGGTATATCTGTAATTGCAATCTGGTTTAAGGTATTAGGTATATCTGGTATACCTAATGCCTATTTCCCATCTGAGTTTGCAGCATGGTTGGCAGTGTCAATGGTATTTCTGTTTACTTGGCTTCCAGGACTCAAAGATTAGTATACATTGAAAGAATTTTTGTTCTGAAAGCAATGTAGTTTGTTCCCATATTTAAGGGAGGCTTAAGAATTTCACAGATTTAGAACTTCAAATTGAAGGCCGGAAATCAGTTTTTCTGTGTCTTTTTGTGGTTGGGGGTGTAGAATTGTTTAACTGTTAATGTTAAATGCTAGTTATTTGTATAACTTTAGTAATAGTGGTGGATGTTTAGTATGCAATTTCATGTATCTGTAGTGTGTGGGTTTTTTCTGCAAATAAAATTATATATATATATAATTAAATTATATATATATATAATTAAAATTATATATATATATATATCCAATTATATATATCCAAATATATATCCAATTATATATATATATAATTAAAAAATGTACTTCTGCTTACTCTGACACAGAAATAGGACTTTTCTTCCCATGTACTAAAAGAAGTATATTATGGTCATTCTCGATGCCTTAAGCAGGGAATCATTGGAGATCAAATTTAATGAATCTATGAAGAGGCATACAGGACCTGATGGTCTCCACTTAGCATGCACTGTGAGTGACCCATACATACTATCAGGCATGTAGCCGGGGGGGGGGGGGGGCTTGGGGGCTTCAGCCCCCCCCCCGAATTCTCATGGTGGTTCGCGAAAAGGCCTTACTGGTGCATTATTTAAACTGTTATGTTTATTCATATCATGATCTGATCACCATACTCAATATATCCCATATGCATGGGGGTATTGGGGTAATGATACAAAGGTTTGCTAGGCTAGACCCTCTTTCACTCAGACTCAGCCCCCCCCAAAAACTCAGCCCCCCCGAAACCCCCCTGAAAAAAATTTAGCCCCCCCCCTCCCGAAACGAAATCCTGGCTACGGGCCTGCATACTATCAAACACAGAGTTCAGAATGCATTCCTACTCTTGTTCTCCACATGCAAGTGGAATCTGACCTTGGAAGTCTCCTCATGAGATCAGAATAATTTGACATTTCTGTGAAGCATCTGTCTTAAACATATTTAAGTGGATGCTTCTTGTGCTTGCTAAATCTTTGATTCTTCGAAATAAGCCGCATTGCCAGCTCTACACAGTTTGGACTGGAAGTGTATGTTCATTCACGCTCTGAGGCAAATTAGCTCTAGAATAGGGTCGTGGAAACCAAGTACTGGGGTAGAGCAGCACGGGCCTCTACTCCTCTAGTTGTGTATACAGGTATGTATGTATATGTTATGGTAAGTGTAAGAAGAGGGCTTATATAAGCAGCCCTGAGGCAAGCGTGATGCAGAAGCGAGAGCACAGGACAATGCTAGCATCCCATCCCAAAGGTGAGGGAGATGCAAGCAAGGAAGCTCTTTGAAATGGAGCGCCTCCCAACACACGAGGCAAACCTATGTTGGGTTGTCAGCAGTGGAACTGTTTGGTGGGTTCTCCTCCTCATGGTCTTCTGTAGAAATTCTTGCTCACTGGGCATCAAGAGCCTTCTGCTGTTGCTTCCGTCGGCAAAGTGGCCCTTGGGGATGACCAGAGCGGCGGAGGCGGCGTGGAGGCAAGCCAGCCATCTGGCGGCAGATCTCCTCTAGAAATAAACCAGAGGGACAGAAGGAAGAGACAAATTTTCAGTGTGTAGCTCTGCTTGCCTGCAAGTAATTTTGAAGTTATAGTAACCTGGGGGGCAGGAACTCATCATGGGCTTTTCTTGTCAAGATTTGTTAAGAGAGAGGTTGCATTGTTAAGAGAGAGGCTGGGAGAATGGGACTTGACCAAAGTCACCCGGTACATTTCTATGGCTGACTGGGGATTTGAATCCTGTCCCCAGAAACATAGACTTAGAACATCATCAAATGAGGGGAATTTAGTGTCCTAGAATGCATTCACCCCGTCTAATGGGCGGAGTCCCATGCTGGCCATCACAGAGGCCCCACCCCCAACCTGGGTGAAAGGGTTGCTGGATGCATTCCCCACAACATAGGAGGCTTCCAGCTTGTCAATACCAGAATTGGACACAATATTCCAGGTGTGGTCTAACCAAGGCAGAATAGAGGGGTAGCATTACTTCCCTAGATCTAGATACTATGCTCCTATTGATGCAGGCCAAAATCCCATTGGCTTTTTTTGCTGCCACATCACATTGTTGGCTTAATGTTTAACTTGCTGTCCACGAGGACTTCAAGATCTTTTTCACATGTACTGCTCTCTTTTTCACATGTACTGCTCCCTCACAAAAAGCTCAAATATAATGTGCTGAATGGTCTTTTCTCCAACCCCTTCAACCCTCCTTACACGTATGGCTGACTTCAATGGCTATCATATGATGACCAGAATTTGGAAAGGACTATGGTAATGCTGAATGGACTTACGGTTTTTAGAACTCAGTGAACGTTGGCCACTAGATTGGCTTTTTAGTTGTTATTGTATTAATTGAAAGTTTTAATTATTGTGGTTATTGCTGTCATGTATTTTATCTGATGAATTGTTGACATCGAATTGTGCCGGTTGTAAGCCGCCCTGAGTCCCCCCTAGGGGGTTGAGAAGGGCAGGGTAGAAGGGCCCGAAATAATAAATAAATAAATAAATAAATAAATAAATAAATAAATAAATAAATAGGTCTGGCTACAAGGCTCTTCCTCTGAACAGCCACACTTAAAAGGGGTGCTTTAAAGGAAAGGGGCTAACTTTGGATCCCTCCCACAATAACTATATACAATGAAGGTTAAACTGTAGAAAATAGGGGAAGGCTCTGTGGTGGCATGATAGCTAAAACAACCTTGCAAGGTAGGTTTGTATTATGGATCCACATAGCTGAGGAACTATGGATAATATTTGACTATGGCTTGGAAGTGGATTTGGATAAGTGAAGCGGAGTAATCATTAGTATATAGCTAGATAAATAGCCACCAGACTGGCAATAGCTAAATGGACCGTAAGTATACTGTTTAATTTTTATTTTAATGTTCATGGTTTTAATTGTTATTTTTGCTATTGTATTTTATGAAGCGTCATTGAATTGTTGCCAATTATAAGCCGCCCTGAGACCCCCTAGGGCAGGATTTCTCAACCTTCCTAATGCCGTGACCCCTTAATACACTTTCTCATGTTGTGGTGACCCCAACCATAAAATTATTTTCATTGCTGCTTCATAACAGTAATTTTGCTACTGTTATGAACTGTAATGTAAATATCCAATATGCAGGATGTATTTTCATTCACTGGACCAAATTTGGCACAAATACCCAAAACACCCAAATTTGAATACTACTGGGATTGGGCGTGGGATTGATTATGTCATTTGGGAGTTGTAGTTGCTTTCATTTATAGTTCGCCTACAATCAAAGAGCATTCTGAACTTCACCAATGATGGAATTGAACCAAACTTGGCACACAGAACTCCCATGATCAACAGAAAATACTGGAAGGGTATGATGGGCATTGACCTTGAGTTTTGGCATTGTAGTTCACCTACATCCAGAGAGCACTGGGGACTCAAACAATGATGGATCTGGACCAAACTTGGAACAAATACTCAATATGCCCAAGTGTGAACACTGGTGGCATTTCGGGAAAATAGGCATTGACAGTTGGGAGTTGTAGTTGCTGGGATTTATAGTACCTACAATCAAAGAGCATTCTGAACCACACCAATGATAGAATTGGACCAAACTTCCCATGCAGAACCCCCATGACCAACCGAAAATACTGTGTTTTCTGATGTTCTTTGGTGACCCCTCTGACACCTCCTCGCGACCCCCCTAGGGGTCCCGACCCCCAGGTTGAGAACCACTGCCCTAGGGGTTGAGAAGGGTGGGGTAAAAATGTTCGAAATAATAAATAAAATAAATAACTAAGGTTATAAAACACAGGCTGGCCTCTGAAGTTACTGAATACATTTAAATCAGAAGACAGTCTTGAAATTAGTGTTCAGTGATGAACACTAGCCATGCAGGATGTAGCGTTAACTACTACTTACATCCTTCTGGATTCTGCTTATTTTGGAAAAAGTTACCTTTTTGGCCTACAGTTCCCAAAATCCGTGGCCAGTATGTCTACCTTCTTGTCATATTTACTCACCCTGCATGGCTTCATCCTCTTTGCAAACAATGCGGGAGCAGATTTCCTTATTTATCATGTATGTCCGGCGGATGCTGTCAACAAAAGAAATTGTGGTGTAAGGAAAAGACAGACATGCAGCTGAACCAAACCCATGAAATGCTAAAATGGATATAAGCAAATAACTTCTGTAAAAGTTGCAAAGCCTTAAGACCCACATAGGAGTTACATGCATATTTATGGCTGATTCACACAGTTAGAGGAGAACAAAAACCTACTATTCCTATATGCTGCTGTTGCGGCGGAAAAAAGGAATTGAGGTGTAGGCCTGCACCAAAATATTTCATTTCTAAAGCTTTAGGATGTTCCGAATAGCTGTACATGCACAGGGAAACCCATCTGTGCAATTTTCACAGATTCCATGAAGAAGAAGCAATATCATCTGATCATAGACTATGTTTTGACAAGGAATCCACAAGCTAGTTGACTTCTTCTCCCTTACCTGGTAACACACAAATAACTGATGCATTGCTTCACAGGCTTGCGTACAGAGTACAGACGTGTGCACGGAAATTGCTCTTCATGGCAATCTGGAAGAAAGAACAGATATGCTAATAACACTGATCTTTCAAAGATTTGAAAGACAGATTAATCATTTGGAGAGAGACTCGCTAAGTGTGGCTGCCAATCGATTATATTAAAACCAGATGGACATTTTCCTAACTAGTAAAGGTTGTCCCCTGACATTAAGTCCAGTCATGTCTGACTCTGGGGTGCTCATCACCATTTCTAAGCCGAAGAGCCGCCGTTATTTACTTTTATTTATTTATTATTTATTTACTTTATTTCTATACCGCTTTTCTCAGCCCTTAGGCAACTCAAAGCAGTTTACACAACGATGCAAAATATCACAAAACAGTATAATGCAATTAAAACAGATTATAACATCAACAGTTAACAACAGTATAACAATCATAACGCCTCAACAATAAAATCAGAATCTACTCTCATTATCCATTGTTCCGTATTCCTATGTTCAATTTCACTGTTTAGTCAAGCTTGTTCGAATAGCCAGGTCTTCACCTTCCTCCGAAACGCCAACAGCGAGGGGGCCGATCTGATGTCTGCAGGTAGGGCATTCCACAGCCGAGGGGCCACCACTGAGAAGGCCCTGTCTCTCGTCCCCGCCAGGCACGCCTGTGATGCAGGCGGGACGAGCAGGGCCTCCCCAGATGATCTTAGTGTCCTAGTCGGTTCATAGGAGGAGATGCGTTCGGAGAGGTAAGTAGGGCCAGAACCGTTTAGGGCTTTATAGGCTAAAGCCAGCACTTTGAATTGTGCCCGGTAGCAAACTGGCAGCCAGTGGAGCTGGCGCAACAGAGGAGTAGTATGCTCCCTGAGTGCCGCTCCTGTTAGCAACCTGGCTGCCGAATGCTGGACCATTTGAAGCTTCCGAGCAGTCTTCAAAGGCAACCCCACGTAGAGAGCGTTGGAGTAGTCTAAGCGGCGTTGTCACCTCCAAGGTCATGTGGCCGGCATGACTGCATGGAGCGCCGTTACCTTCCCGCTGGAGCGGTACCTATTGATCTACTCACTAATACAATTAGTAAAAATGGGAGTAGCTTGTAATAATATCTATAGTTTCCTCTTGCACTCTGAAATTTTATGCTATTACCATTATTTTCTTCAAAGTACTCTACTCAAGCTGTTGAGTTTCCCAAAGGCATGGCAGGGATTTGGACTAGATGGCCCATGTGGTCTCTTCCAGCTCTATGATTCTATCTGGTTGATCAGTGAGAGAAGAGGGACTGGGTCATGGATGGGCAACTTTGGGACCTCTAGACCAGGGGTCCTCAAACTATGGCCCGGGGGCCGGATACAACCCTCCAAAGTCATTTACCCGGCCCTCGCTCAGGGTCAACCTAAGTCTGAAATGACTTGAAAGAACACAACAACAACAACAACCCTATCTCATCAGCCAAAAGCAGGTCCACACTTCCCATTGAAATACTAATACATTTATATTTGTTAAAATTGTTCTTCATTTTAATTATTGTATTTTTAAGTGTTTTTTTTGAACTACAAATAAGATATGTGCAGTGTGCATAGGAATTCATTCATGTTTTTTTTTCCAAATTATAATCTGGCCCTCCAACAGTTTGAGGGAGTGTGACCTGGCCCTTTGTTTAAAAAGTTTGAGGACCCCTGCTCTAGACATTGCTTGACTGCCTGTTGCATCAATCTTAGCCAACATGGTTGGAATAGCAAGTGCTGCAATCAAGCAATATGCAGAGAGTCATAGTATCTGAAACGATAGATAGATTGGTTGGCCAGAGCGAAGACAGAAGGGAGCAGAAGACACTTCCATCTTGTCTTTACTAATAATGTAATATAGTATATTGTATATACATATAATATTTATAATATTATAATGTAATACAATATAATACTAGTTATAATAATTCAATATTATAATTATAATTATATATTTACATTACATGTAATATTACTAATAATATTACAATATAATGGTATAGTGCAATATAGTAATAAATACTGATATTGTACTATGCTAATAATATAATATATTGTATGAAAATATATATTGTAAGCCGCTCTGAGTCCCCTTCGGGGTGAGAAGAGCGGCATATAAATGCCGTAAATAAATAGATAGATAGATAGATATCACACTTTTCTCCTATATGACACCCGAAATGGCTTACAATACAGCTAAAGAAGTCTGAAATGCAATTCTTTTTAGAAAGCTTGCAACACAATACACTTAAAACATTAATCTGCAACTGATAAAAATACATTATTAATGATGAAAAATGACAAACAAAATTTAAGATGTGCTTGTCTTCCTTGCATATTAAAAACTGACACACTAAATTCAGTACCCCAGTCATTTAAAAGTTGGAGACCCATTTAAATAGTATCTTTGCCAGTTGGTGAAACGACAGCAGGGAGTGGCAACTGACTCTCCTTCGGCAGAGACTTCCATATTCCGGGAGCAGACGGTGTGAAGGCCCTTCTTCAAAGACTGTAAAAATTTTATAGACTCATATAGGGAGATCCAGTCCTTCAGATAACCTGGACCTAAGCCGTATAGAGTTTTATGGGTCATGACAAGCACTTTGCATTCTGCCTTGAAACAGACTGTTAGTCAGTGAAGCTATCTCAGCAAGGAATTATATGTTACCTATGTTCAGTAGTCTAGCCGCAGTGTTTGGGACTTTCTGATGTTTCTGAAGAGTTCCCAAGGCAGCCAAATAAAGCAATCCTAGCTGGATGTAATCAAGGCACATTGTCTGACATCTCAAGGACATCTCAAAGAATAGCTGCACTATTTTTGCCATGTCAGAAGAGTGATGTGATGATAATTAAATTATATTACCACAGCAGTCCAAGACATGCAAGCATCTACATAATGATAGGTGACATGGCACCCATGAGCAACTACGAATGAGCCTACAGCTCCAGCCTCACTCTGTCTCGTGAATTAATACTCAGAGATGTTGAAAGCTTATGAAATATGTTTCAATGTGGAACTATAAGGCACCCCATCAACAAACAGATGAATAATTCATATACTATCTGACAAAGCCTGGAAGGATCCAAGTCATCTCCAGATATATCGGAATTTGTCCTTCCTCTGGGTTTTGCTTGCAAGGTCAGTAAAGGGATGGCCCACGAGGTCTCTTCCAACTCTATGATGCTATGATTTTATGATTTAGGCTAAACATGCCCAGCTCTTTAAGCTGCTCCTCATAGGGCTTATTCTCTAGACCTTCCTCTGGACACATTCCAGCTTGTCAACATCTCCCTTCAATTGTGGTGCCCAGAATTGGACACAGTATTGGTATGTGGTCTAACCAAGGCAGAATAGAGGGGTAGCATGACTTCCCTGGACCTAGACACTATGCTCCTATTGATGCAGGCTAAAATCTCATTAGCATTTTTTGCCGCCACATGACATTGTTGGCTCATGTTTAACTTGTCCTTGAGGACCCCAAGATCTTTTTCACACGTACTGTTCTCAAGCCATGCATCCCCCATTCTGTATCTTTGCATTTCATTTTTTTCTGTCCAAGTGGAGTATCTTGCATTTGTCCCTGTTGAACTTGATTTTGTTAGTTTTGGCCCATCTCTCTAATCTGTTAAGATCGTTTTGAATTCTGCTCCTGTCCTCTGGAGTATTGTCTATCCCTCCCAATTTGGTGTCGTCTGCAAACTTGATGATCATGCCTTCTAACCTTCATCTAAGTCATTAATAAAGATGTTGAACAGGACCAGGCTCAGGATGAGACCTTGCTTATGGCACTCCACTCGTCACTTCTTTCCAGGATGAAGAGGAAGCATTGGTGAGCACCCTCTGGGTTCATCCTCTTAACCAATTACAGATCCACCTAACCATAGTTTTGCCTAGCCCACATTGGACTAGTTTCCTTGCCAGAAGGTCGTGGGGGACCTTGTCGAAGGCCTTACTGAAGTCCAAGTACGCTACATCCACGGCATTCCCCACACCTACCCAGTTTGTAGCTCTATCAAAGAAAGAGATCAGATTAGTCTGGCATGACTTGTTTTTGATAAATCCATGTTGACTATTTGCTATGACCGCATTTGTTTCTAAGTGTTTGCAGATCACTTCCTTAACGATCTTTTCCAGAATCTTGCCTGGTATTGACGTGAGGCTGACCGGGCGGTAATTGTTTGGGTCATCCTTTTTTCCCTTCTTGAAGATTGGGACCACATTGGCCCTCCTCCAATCTGCTGGGACTATTGTAAGTTATCATAAATATTATAGATAGGAAAGCAATATGGTTTTTATATACAAACAACTTAAATATTCAATCTTGTGTTAAAAACGATTGAGTGCCTGGAATCTGTGAAATCAGACATATAACCAATTAATAAAATCCAGCCATACAAGGGAATTAATATTGATTGAATGGAGATTGCACATTGGGTCAGTAAGAACTAGTAAGCAAAAGAAAACTTACCAGGGGCAGGTGTCGTAGCATCACCTGTAATTAAAACAGGAAAATGTTTATACAAAATAAGCAATAGCATTGCTATTTGCATCCTTGAAGTGACTGGACTGACCTTGAAGGAGCTGGAGGTGGTGACGGCCGACAGGGAGCTCTGGCGTGGACTGGTCCATGAGGTCACGAAGAGTCGGAGACGACTGAACGAATGAACAACATTGCTATTTACCTTAAGGACAAATGCAGAAAGAAATTAATTGGGTTGCTGTGAGTTTTTTGGGTTGTATGGCCATGTTCCAGCAGCATTCTCTCCTAACATTTCACCTGCACCTGTGGCTGGCATCTTCAGAGGAGTGTGTGTGTGTGTGTGGAATGTTCAGGGTGGGAGAAAGAACCCTTGTCTGTATAAAGCAATTGTAAATGTTGCTATTCATAGAATCATAGAATCAAAGAGTTGGAAGAGACCTCATGGGCCATCCAGTCCAACCCCCTGCCAAGAAGCAGGAATATTGCATTCAAATCACCCCTGACAAATGGCCATCCAGCCTCTGTTTAAAAGCTTCCAAAGAAGGAGCCTCCACCACACTCCGGGGCAGAGAGTTCCACTGCTGAACGGCTCACACAGTCAGGAAGTTCTTCCTCATGTTCAGATGGAATCTCCTTTCTTGTAGTTTGAAGCCATTGTTCCGCGTCCTAGTCTCCAAGGAAGCAGAAAACAAGCTTGCTCCCTCCTCCCTGTGGCTTCCTCTCACATATTTATACATGGCTATCATATCTCCTCTCAGCCTTCTCTTCTTCAGGCTAAACATGCCCAGTTCCCTAAGCCACTCCTCATAGGGCTTGTTCTCCAGACCCTTGATCATTTTAGTCGCCCTCCTCTGGACACATTCCAGCTTGTCAATATCTCTCTTGAATTGTGGTGCCCAGAATTGGACACAAAATTCCAGATGTGGTCTAACCAAAGCAGAATAGAGGGGTAGCATTACTTCCTTAGATCTAGACACTATGCTCCTATTGATGCAGGCCAAAATCCCATTGGCTTTTTTTGCCGCCACATCACATTGTTGGCTCATGTTTAACTTGTTCTCCACGAGGACTCCAAGATCTTTTTCACACGTACTGCTCTCGAGCCAGGCGTCACCCATTCTGTATCTTTGCATTTCATTTTTTCTGCCAAAGTGGAGTATCTTGCATTTGTCACTGTTGAACTTCATTTTGTTAGTTTTGGCCCATCTCTCTAATCTGTCAAGATCGTTTTGAATTCTGCTCCTGTCCTCTGGACTATTGGCTATCCCTCCCAATTTGGTGTCGTCTGCAAACTTGATGATCATACCTTCTAGCCCTTCATCTAAGTCATTAATAAAGATGTTGAACAGGACCGGGCCCAGGACGGAACCCTGCGGCACTCCACTTGTCACTTCTTTCCAAGATGAAGAGGAAGCATTAGTGAGCACTCTCGTTCGTCCATTTAACCAATTACAGATCCACCTCACCGTAGTTTTGCCTAGCCCACATTGGACTAGTTTGTTTGCCAGAAGGTCATGGGGGACCTTGTTGAAGGCCTTACTGAAATCCAGGTACGCTACATCCACGGCATTCCCCGCATCTATCCAGCTTGTAGCTCTATCGAAGAAAGAGATCAGATTAGTCTGGCATGACTTGTTTTTGATAAATCCATGTTGACTATTAGTGATGACTGCATTTGTTTCTAAGTGTTTGCAGACCGCTTCCTTAACAATCTTTTCCAGAATCTTGCCTGGTATCGACGTGAGGCTGACCGGACAGTAGTTGTTTGGGTCATCCTTTTTTCCCTTCTTGAAGATTGGGACCACATTGGCCCTCCTCCAATCTGCTGGAACTTCTCCTGTTCTCCAAGAACTCTCAAAGATGGTTGCCAATGGTTCCGAAATGACTTCCGCTAGTTCCTTCAATACTTGGGTGTAGTTGATCTGGCCCTGGGGACTTGAACTCATTAAGAGCGGCCAGGTATTCCTGGACGACTTGTTTCCCAATTTGGGGTTGGATGTCCTCCAATCCCTCATCCACTCCATCTTGCTGAGGTTGAAGACTCTCTTTTTGTGAGAAGACCGAGGCAAAGAAGGCATTAAGTAGTTCTGCCTTTTCCCTATCCCCTGTCAGCATTGCCCCATCTTCTCCTCGAAGAGGTCCTATCGCCTCCTTGTTTTTCCTTTTTCTACTGACATAAGAAAAGAATCCCTTTTTATTGTTTCTAATGTCCCTGGCAAGTCTGAGCTCATTTTTTGCTTTAGCCTTGCGGACCTTTTCCTTACAGGTGTTGGCTATTTGTTATTAGCAAGCTTGAGTAGCCATAAAGTTTGCAAAGTCAATTAGTGTAGGTATCTGCATAGAGGTAGCCTGACCTCTGTTGCCTGGAGGCATTCTATGTTTGTGAGGTGTTAACTAGGCCTTGATTGCTTACTGTCTGGAGTTCTCCTGTTTCTGGGTGGTGTTAATTATTTACTGTCTTTATTCTGGTGTTTTTTATACTTGAAACCAGATTTTGTTCATTTTTATTGTTTCCTCCTTTCTGTTGAAATTGTCCATGTGCTTGTGGCTTCATTGGCTTCTCTGTGTAGTCTGACATAGTGGTTGTCAGAGTGCTCCATATCTTCTGTGTTCAGGTTGGTTTATCATGTGCTCTGCTATAGCTGACTTATCTGATTGAATTGGTCTGCAGTGTCTTTTATATTCTTTGATTTCTGTTTGGATGCCATCCATCCACCTTGCCCTTCATTGGCCCCTCTTCCTTTTTCCTTCCTTTTCCCCCAGCATCATTGTCTTCTCTAAGCTTTCCTGTCTTCTCATGATGTGGCCAAACTACTTCATCTTTGCCCCTAATAGCCTTCCCTCCAATGAGCAGTCAGGCTTTATTTCATGAAGTATGTACTGGTTGGATCTTCTCAGGGTCCAAGGCACTCTCAGAACTTTCCTCCAACACCACAGTTCAAAAGCATCTATCTTCCTTCGCTCAGCCTTCCCTAAGGTTCAGCTCTCACATCCATAGGTGACTATGGGGAATACCATTGCTTTCACTATGCGGATCTTTGTTGCCAGTGTGATGTCTCCACTCTTCACTATTTTATCGAGATTGGACATTGCTCTCCTCCCAAGAAGTAAGCGTCTCCTGATTCCCGGGCTGCAGTCTGCATCTGCAGCAGTCTTTGCACCTAGAAATATAAAGTCTGTCACTACCTCCATGTTTCCTCCTTCTATTTCCCAGTTGTCAATCATTCTTGTTGCCATAATCTTGGGGTTTTTTTTATGTTCAACTACAACCCAGCTTTTGGGCTTTCTTCTTTCACCTTGATTAGAAGGCTCCTCACCTCCTCGCTTTCGGCCATCAAAGTGGTGTCATCTTCATATCTAAGGTTGTTAATGTTTCTTCCAGCAATTTTCACTCCAGCCTTGCATTCGTCAAGTCCCACACATTGCATTATGTGTTCTGCATACAAGTTGAATAGGTTGGGTGAGAGGATACAACCCTACCGTACGCCTTTCCCAATCTTGAACCAGTCTGTTGTTCCATGGTCATTTTTTACTGTTGCTACTTGGTCCTTATACAGATTCCTCAGGAGAGAGACAAGGTGATTTGGTATGCCCATCCCACCAAGAACTTGCCACAATTTATTATGATCCACACAGTCTAAGGCTTTAGAATTGTTAATAAAACAGAAATAGATGTTTTTCTGAAACTCCCTGCCTTTCTCCAGTATCCAGCAGATATTGGCAATTTGGTCTCTCGTTCCTCTGCCTTTTCTAAACTCAGCTTGTACATCTGACAACACTCTTAGATGTACTCAGGGTTTATCAGAAATCACCTGATTTCCAAGAAATAAAAGTTAAATAGAAACTTAGCATCACACATGAGCACACTTCACCCAATCAGCTAGTAAGGATAGAACACCTGATTTATAAGAATTCACATGGTTTGAAGGAAATGGAAAGTTAACTCAGGGTAGCGGTTTCATTTTTACCTGCAGGAGCAGGGACTGCCCACCTTTATTTTCCTGGCCAGAAAATAAATCTGGTTGTTTTCACCTAATTGAGTTGCATTTGTTTTCTCTTCCTGCGCCTTTTCTGATCCTGTGTCTTCATGAATCCATTACAATTCCACAGTGGTGAGAGAAAACATCCCCCATACACAGCACACTTTGAAAATTTGAGCTTGTCTTTAGAATGTTAGCATTTACTTCAGCATTTAAAATTCAAAAGGCATTTGAATTTGTCAGCATCACTTGACTGCAAGCAGTTATGGCTGTGCTGGAAAAACTTGTATCAAATACCAAAATGAAACATCATTGCATGCCATTTCTTAAATGGCAAATTAAGTTCTGCTAAATATGAAGAATCAAATATTTTACTAATGAAAGCAAAGGGGCACTAATTGTCACACAGATGTCCTATGACTGTTTAGCTCGCATCTGAATCCTCAGAGAATTTGTAGGACATATTTGATAGTACACAATACTTTGGTGCAGGAATCAGGAGCAAATTCCTGGCAGTGAATTTTGATATGTTGAAATATTCACTTCCACTTAAACTGCAGTCTCTGCAAGATCAAACCCTTGCCAGACATGGAGCTAAGTAATCTTCTGACTTGCATCTGAGCTAATTCAAAGAAGGCGGCAGCATATCACAGTGCCTGTTCGTACTTTAGAAGCAGCATGTGGGCATGTGCTGCAAGATACATGCCCATTGCTTACCTTTTTCATCTGCTGCTGTTTCCCCAGGATCAGCTGCACCTACAGGGAGAAGAAATAATGTTACCACAAAGAATAATAATAAAAAGGAAATGCTGTGGACAACCAATTCCACATATTGTTTTATTGTGTGCTTTAAGTCACAAACCTATAGGTCACCAGTTAACTAGGGAGCTTCTCACATTGTGTTTTACTCTGTTTCTGAGACCCTTTGAACGTGATTCTGAATGGGTCTTATCACATGATGTTTGTGTTATTCCATCAATAATCTGTTTCCATTGATCTGCAATACATTGCAGAAATTGAGTAATTTCACATGGGATTCCGATCATGTTTTTAAATTTTAAAACGGTTCTGAGACACATTTTTATGTGTGATCATAAAATCAGCATGTATTCCATCAGATAGAAGGTCTGGAAGGTCTACTCGATCCGTTGAGTAATATAATCAATGGCTCTCTTGAACAAGGGGTCTTCCCGGACAACCTAAAAGAGGCAAGGGTTCGTCCCTTGCTAAAGAAGCCTAGCTTGGATCCCTTGACCCTTGCCAATTATTGTCCTGTCTCTAACCTTCCATTCTTAGGCAAGATGATAGAGCAGGCCATACTGGGACAATTGCAATCATTTTTGGATGACACAGCTGGCCTGGACCCCTTCCCAATCAGGTTTCCGCCCTGGCTATGGGATGGAGACAGTCCTGGTTGCCATTACAGATGAACTTCGTTGCCAGTCTGATAGCGGCGGATCAGAGCTACTGGTACTTCTCGACCTTACCGCAGTGTTTGACACCATTGACTACAATCTAATGATTCACCGTCTTGCCATGTCCAGAGTTCGCGGTCAGGCCCTCAATTGGTTCGACTCATTTCTCCGAAACTGGAGCCAATGCATGGAGTATATGGATCAAGTTTCTGAAAGATCTCCCCTCCTATGTGGGGTACCCCTAGGTGCAAATCTCTCCTCTCTTCTCTTCAACATCTATGTTTAGACCCCTTGAAAGTTTGGTTCGGAGTTTCGGCCTAGACTGCTATCAATAGGTGGAGGACATCCAACTCCTTCTGCGTTTGGAGCCTGGAGCAACGTCAATACCAGACAATTTCACCTTATGACTGGAGGCTCTGACGAACTGGCTATGTGCTAGTAGACTGAAGGTGAACCTGGCGAAGACTGAGATTCTCTGGCATGGCCGCTCTATTGGTCTGACCCATTTGCTACCCACCTTCGATGGTGCTGCCCTATCTTCTTCACCTACCGTTAAGAGCTTGGGTGTCATTTTGGATTTGCAGCTGACAATGAAAGCTCAGGTTGCTGCTGCCAGCAAACAGGCCTTTTTCCATCTACAACAAGCGAGGCAATTGGCACCCTACCTATCTGATGAGGCTCTGGCAACAGTCATCCATGCCACAGACTAGGTCTGTGCTTCTTTTAGATTCTCCCAGGATGGACTAAACTCATGGCTTTCTCCATTCTGCTCAGAGAAGGGAATGGTTCCTTTTTTTTTTTGACAAGAGTTGAAGTACAGTACTTACACTGACTTTGTGAGAAAGTTGACCCATTTTTGGGGGCTGACAAAAATTTCTAAACTTATACCTGAGTACATATAGGTAGGGGTTTTTTATTCCTTAAGGTGCAACCTTTTTAAAGAATTTGAACAATACATCTAAATGCATTGTACATGGTCCTAACTATAGAGACAAATGTGGTGAAAAAATAAAGAACTTACCCAAAGTATCTACTGGATCATCTGTTGGATCTTGATTTAACACCCCTGAAAAAAGAGGCAAGAGGCAGCAGGCTTATTAGGAATTGTTGATCTATGCACAGCTGGCTACTTTGTTGTGAGATCCGTCCAGACTCACAAAGGAGGTGGTCATCCTCTGTCTCCTTGAGTGTGCTATGTGCCATCAAGTCATTTCTGACTTTCTCTCTCACACACACATAGATTGTGTTTCCACAGACAAATTCTCATTTCTACTTTTTAAAAAAAATCCAGTGTATTTATGTGAAGAAGGTTACAGCAGCCGAGAGAGCATATCAGAAGAAACTAAGATGAGTGTGCCAGGTTACAACTGGTGTGAACTGCCTCTTTAGATGTAATGGTTTATTAGTAGAATAAATATTTCCTTTTAGGGGCATTCTCAAGCTGTTTATGAAATAATACAGTCAACAGTATTTTTAATATACTTGACTATAGAGGTTGCATATCCCTTATCCTAAATGTTTGGGACCAGAAGCGTTTTAGATTTTAGTAGTCTCAGATTTTAAAACACCACACCTGTGTGAACATCAACATCCAAATAAGATATCTTGGAGATGGGACCCAAGCCTAAACATGAGATTCATTTATGTTCATTCATATCTTTTATGCATAGCCTAAAAGCAATTTTATACAATATTGTAACATAACTTTGTGCATAAAACAAAGTGTATATACTTTGAACATCAGAAAGCAAAGCCGTTACTAAGGGCCCTTCCAAACAGGCCCTATATCCAGGATCCCAGGTTTTCTGATTTAAACTTGGTTATGTGAGTCCCCACTGCCAGATAACCTGGATTAAACAGAAAAGTTGGGATTAGAACTTGGGATATAGGACTTGTCTAGAAGGGCCCAAAGCGGTTTTTTGGATTTTGGAATTCCAGAGAAAGGGTGTTCAACCTGCACTTACTAATACAGTAACACTTTCCCCTAATTAATTGATCATGTACTTACAGTCAAGATCAAAGACAACTGTGCTGATGCTAATAATTATTAAATTGTTTTGTTTTTGGTTTTTTAAAAATAATTTTTATTGTTCATTTTTCAAATATAACAGTGATAGAGCCTTCTATCAGAAAATCAAAAAAGAACAAGACTTTGGAAAAGGACAACAAAAAAAGACTTAGTTCCTAAGGAAACAACAAGAACCCTGGACCCATTCAAGACGAAAAAAGGAGAGAAGAGACCTAGGCAGATATCCCCGGAAGACTATAGCAAACAATTCAACAAAACCAAGATGACTAAGGACTTAATTGATTTAGAGTTAGGAGATGGCTACAAAGATAATAACTAATAATGTAAATGGAATTAATGGCCCCAATAAAAGGAAACTGATATTCAATCAACTAAAGAACCAAAATTGTGACATAATGGCGATACAGGAAACACATATCAGACAAAAACACTTCTCACATTTGGTAAACAAACAATTAGGAATATTATTTCATTCTTCCGCTCCCGAAAAAAAAATGAGGTGTTGCAATTTACATGAAGGACAAGCTTAAACCAAAATTAGCTTTTAAGGATAATGATGGTAGAATGGTGGGGATCAAAATTAGACTGAATGACTTAAACATACTCATATGCAATATATATGCTCCTACAGGAGCTAAATCTGAATTTATCAAACTACTGATGAAAAAGATACAAGAACAAAATTACAATAATTTTATTATTTTAGGAGACTTCAAAGGGGTGATAGAAAGTGAGATGGATTGATCTAGGAAGAGAAAAAGAGGAAGAGACCCCAAAGAGGGCAGGCTACCACAACATTTCTTATACCTGCTAAAATAATTCTATCTACTAGACATTTGGAGACTCAAAAATCCCAGGGTGAAGGATTATGCTTTTTACTTGGATAGACACCCAACATGGTCCCGCATAGACATGTTCTGGGTTTCAAAGTCATTGGCAACCAAAGTAAAAAACACGAAAATTCTTCCAAGGGTTAACATGGACCATTGTCCACTAAAAATAGAAGTGTCAAATAGTTATAGAGAGAGAAGATGGAAATTGCACGAATATCTACTACATTCAGAAGAAGATATAAAGCAAAGTAAAAATATCTTAAATGAATATTTTTCAGAACAACTCAGGGAAAGGCACCAGGTCAGAAATAGTATGGGAGGCCAGCAAGGCAGTTATGCAGGGCCACTTCATTCAGCAGGGGGTAACAAAAAATAAAAAGAGCAACAAAGACTTGATGAAAAATTAACAGTCAAAGAAGATCAATTAAAATGCTGCCCAAGAAATCAAAAAATTAAATTACAGATTGACCTAATCAGGGAAGAAATCAATATGGCTTTGTCAACTCAAATGGCCAGGACTCTTAAATACCTTAAAGTTCAGCATTTCACAAAGTGCAAATAAGCCTGGAAAATTCCTAGCAAGAAGGCTAGAAAAGAGAAAACAAAAATCATATATAACACAAATAATAGAAGAGGGGGGAAACTACACAAGAGAAAAGGAGATTGCTGCACAATTCAGAGAATTTTATTTTAAAAAATATACAGGAAAGATCAAGTTAGAAAAGAGGACATAACATCATTTATCTCTCACCAAAAAATCTCAAGAATAACAGATCTAGAGAGAGAATTTTTAAACGGAAGAAGAGGTGAAGAAAACTATTGATAAGTTAGCAAGCAACAAAGCGCCAGGCCCAGATGGGATAACAGCACAACATTACAAGATTTAAGAGAAATAGATGGGAAGATGAGTTGGTTTCACTTCCTGCAATCCAAAGAATGCTTCAAAGAATAGGTTTCAATGAAAAAGACACATGCTGGGATGCTATCATGAGCAAAGAAAAAAACTAGTTAAGATCCTATATCGAAAGGAGGAGGGAGCAAGCTTGTTTTCTGCTTCCTTGGAGACTAGGACGCAGAACAATGGCTTCAAACTACAAGAGAGGAGATTCCATCTGAACATTAGGAAGAACTTCCTGACTGTGAGAGCCGTTCAGCAGTGGAACTCTCTGCCCCGGAGTGTGGTGGAGGCTCCTTCATTGGAGGCGTTTAAGCAGAGGCTGGATGGCCATTTGTCAGGGGTGATTTGAATGCAATATTCCTGCTTCTTGGCAGGGGGTTGGACTGGATGGCCCATGAGGTCTCTTCCAACTGTTTGATTCTATGATTCTATGAAAGCTCTTGGAGTGGGATACCGAGAAAGATCTAATTAAGGACAATATGATCAAGTGGGTCATTGATATAGGGCACTCTATACTTTTAAAGGAATGGGAAAAAGTTTAGAATATCATACCAAGATTCACAAGAGCCATTAATATAATAAAAAACTGGCACAAAATGTTTTATAGATGGCATTAGACCCAGGTACAATTAGCTAAGTATTACAAAAATTATAATAGTCTCTGCTGGAAATGTGGAAGGGAGGTAAAGGTAAAGGTAGTCCCCTGACATTAAGTCCAGTCATGTCTGACTCTGGGGTGTGGTGCTCATCGCCATTTCTAAGCCGAAGAGCCAGCGTTGTCCGTAGACACCTCCAAGGTCATGTGGCCGGCATGACTGTATGGAGCGCCGTTACCTTCCCACCGGAGCGGTACCTATTCATCTACTCACATTTGCATGTTTTCAAACTGCTAGGTTGGCAGAAGCTAGGGTTGACAGCGGAAGCTCACGCCGCTCCCCAGAATCGAACCTGCGACTTTTCGATCAACAAGCTCAGCAGCTCAGTACTTTAACCCACTGCGCCACCAGGGGCTCCAGTGGAAGGGAACCAGGTACATATTACCATTCATGGTGGGGCTGCAAGAAAGTCAGAAAATTCTGGCTGATGATCAACAAGCATAACCAAAATATAATCAAGCTAAAATACGAGATGAAGCCAGAATATTATTTGCTGAACATAATAGACCTCGAGAAGAGGAAAAATGAAGAAAAGATCCTTCTATATCTCTCAGCGGCTGCAAGAACCCTGATAGCCCAGAAATGGAAACGTAAATAAACCCCCACCGTTGAGGACTGGTTCTGTAAGATAACCGAGTTCATGAATATGGACAGATTGTCACATATAATCAAGAATCAGAGCAAGAAAAGTCAAGTTAGTTGGGATCAACTCAGATTATATTTAAAGGAAACAATAAAACTAAATATATAAACTTAAATACAAGGAGTCCTCTAGGACAATAGAGACCTTCCGAAGCAAAACTTTTCTTAAGAAGAACAAGACTGTACCTCTGTGGAATGAACCGGAAGTCAACTATTCCCCCCCCCCCCCCCCCCCCCCCCCCGGCCAGCATAGGTCCCAGCTCTTCCCACCACTACACAACCCCTCAATCCCCTCCCCATTTCACTTTCTCCCTTCTCTACCGACCTATCCAATTTCCCACTTTCCTATAAGTCAGATTGTTCCCCCTCTATCACTGTTATATTTGAATAATTGTTAATTTGTTGTTATGCAAATTTAAAAAAAATTGTAAATATATAAACTAGAAAAAATGAGATACATGTGTGATCTGGTGGTAAGGGACCTCTAGTAGAAGGGGTCTCAACAGCAGAATTCAAGCTTGCTCCCTCTGCAATATGACAATCTTTCAAATAAAAAGAAACAACAAATGTATGTTGGCAGAGTTTGTTAAAGTTTGCTCTCTAATCTACTTAGGATATTGTAGCATTAGAGTAATTGAGGGCAGTAGCACCAGAAGATTAAACTTCCAGGTCAGATGGCAATCAGTGAGCTGCTGGGAGGATGGGTAGTGCAGTGGCTAATGACACAACTGGATGTTCAGTTGTTGACATGCTCAAAAGGGAAATAAAAAATCCAAAAGTGCACAATACGTATTTATAGGAACATGTAATGTGAAAACCTGACACAGGAAAAGCTAGGTGTCATACATTAAAAGGAGTATATAAACATTGCAACACTTTGGGTGAGTGATCTAATGTAGACATGAGTGAAACGGTTTATATCAAATAATTATACTGTGTTTTAGTCAGAAAATTAAAAACTAAGAAGGAATGGGGCGGTGTTTATAGTGAGGGGAGATGTAGCAAAAGCAGTCAAAGACATATAATGCAAAGTTTGACTGAAGCATATCAATTAGACTCAGGCCAAGGTTGGGTTGTTCGTAAGTTGAATTTGTATGTCAGGCAGAACAAGCACATTTTTAAAGTGTAACTCCAGCCAAAATTTTTTTTTTCAGCTTTGGAAAACATCCCTGTGACATTAGCTTTGCTATCTGTGCCTCTGGTCAAAAGATTTCACCTCACTTTCTGTTCCTGTGACAATTAGATGTTGAAAAAAATGGCTTGTTGTGAAAACAAGGATTGATTATAAAACTTCAATTGAAACCCCTTTTCCCCATGATAACTCTTCCAGGGGTGAATTTCCCTTCCTAGGGGTAGATTTCTCTCATTTCCTGTTGTCCAAGGAGATGTATTAGTCCCATATCTTCTTCTTCTTTCCTGCTTCTGCTCCTCTTCCTTTGTCTATGTCATCATATTCCCCATTTCTGTGTATGGTTGTGAAAGCTGGATTGTGAAGAAAACCAATTAAGTAGGAGACAAACTCCTTTGAAATGTGGTGCTTGAGATCAGTTCAACAGATAAAATGTAAAAATAAATGAAACCTAGAACAAATCAAATCTAAACTCTTCTAGGACCTTATTATATTATGAAAACCACCATTTCTGAGACAGAATGATTTCGAACAGGTCCCATCACATGACATTTGCCCCATCCTGCCTGTATTCTGTTGGAATCTGTCTGCAAAGTGTCGCAAAAATGAATTATTTCCAGACAAAATTCTAATCGTGTTTTTTGAAATACTATCAATTTTTCTATTGCTGAAGTACTGTTTTTGTGTGTGACAGGAAAATCTGTTTCCCATCAGCAATGATACTTTTTACAAGTTCATAGAGTGATGTAGGGGGTATTTTGAATGGATTGGGAGGAGCCAGCCTTCTGTGGTATGATGAGTCAGAGCACAGTATTTCAAATCATCTGAATTGTAACAATCAGTTATGACGAGGAAAGTGTATTTCCCCATCTCAATACAGTATGTATCCAGTCCTTAAAAATATGGAAGGATACTGATAAAAACAGATAATATCCCAATGTGATAAGGTCCCTAGATGCCAAAATGACTAAACTAAGACTGTTGTACTTTGGCCACATCATGAGTAGACAAGACTCGTTAGAAAAAGGAGTGTTTGTTAAAATGGAGGACGATGGGAAAAAAGGAAGACCACATTCCAGATGGATGGACTCAATCAAGGAAACATTGCCCTGAGTCTGCAAGACATGAGTAATTTCTGAATGCTGATTATCTAGTTTAGACACACATAATTGCAGTTAATCAGATAATCAGAAACTGGATTTTATGGTCAGTGTAGATGAGGCCTGAGAGTGTATTTACATTGGTCTCTTGGTATCCACTGGGGTTTAGTTCCAGCTCCCCTCCCCCTTCTCCCTGTAGATATCAAAATCTGTAGATCTCAAGTCCCGTTATATATAGTGAATGGTTGAAGTGAATGGCTGATTTCGGATGGCCAACTGCACTCTTCCCTTCTGTATGCAACTGAGGGGGAAAGTATAAAGCCAGGTGTTTCATGACCTGCCATAACACAAGAGATCCTTTCACATTACATAATGATAGCACCGTGGTTTAATTTTAACTGCTATGGCATACCTCCTGTGGAATGCAATTGGCATTTTAGGGAGGAATAATTAGATTCTTAAACCAGTGCCTCTGATCAAACAATTACAAACCCCATTATTCCACAGAATCATGCCATAGCATCAAAAGGGAATCGTAGTGGTGTATTGCTGTGAAAAGGCTAGGGCAAAGGATCCAATCCTGAAATAAATGCAAAAAGTGATTGCATCTCTATGCCTTCACGGCTAAATGGAACCTCCATGTCCAGCAACTCTTTATCCCAATGAAAGATACTCTTTGAATCTATAGTAACATTAGTGGGAGTGGATAAGTCATCATCTTCCCCTCATGATATTGCCCTGTTATGGTTACCGACCCCACAGCTGCTTGGAGATGTTGAAGGGAGAACATACATGGATGATTGGCATTATGTGCACTCAATCCATAGCCAATTCTGAAATTAACAATGAAGCATATGGGTGCTAAATTTTGCAATTGGCTGGGAGAAGATTTGATGCTTTAAAGGGGATGTTAAACTGTCTAATGAAAAGTCTTCCTTGACCTAAAATAACCCAGCAGGGTTCAAAATGTAGCAAACCTGCTCCCCAGCACTTGAAAACATAGAGAACACTGAGGGATCTGGAAGAACCCCGGTGCTATCATGTAGAGAATGTAGACAACCATCTCACATGGCATGATCATCAAGTCTGCAGATGACACCAAATTGGGAGGGATAGCCAATACTCCAGAGGAGAGGAGCAGAATTCAAAATGATCTTGACAGATTAACAAAATGAAGTTCAACAGGGACAAATGCAAGATACTCCACTTAGGCAGAAAAAAAGCGAAATGCAAAGATACAGAATGGGGGACGCCTGGCTCGAGAGCAGTATATGTGAAAAAGATCTTGGAGTCCTCGTGGACAGCAAGTTAAAAATGAGCCAACAATGTGATGTGGCAGCAAAAATAGCCAATGGGATTTTGGCCTGCATCAATAGGAGCATAGTATCTAGATCTAGGGAAGTAATGCTACCCCTCTATTCTGCCTGGGTTAGACCACACCTAGAATATTGTGTCCAATTCTGGGCACTGCAATTGAATGTGTCCAGAGGAGGGCAACTAAAATGATCAAGGGTCTGGAGAACAAGCCCTATGAGGAGCGGCTTAAAGAGCTGGGCGTGTTTAGCTTGAAGAAGAGAAGGCTGAGAGGAGACATAATAGCCATGGTCGCCTTAGTGGGCTCCATCAGTGGCAGTTTCTTAGATGTGTAGAAACACTTATTTTATTGTGTGTGATGAGGTTTTGTCTGTACTGGCAAACTAACCTGTAGTGTTGTGCTAATGAAAAATTCAGGAGCTCCATGTTGGGGTGGTGATCAACACCCATAGAAAATACTCCATGACTGAATATGATTTTAATATTGAATAAATTTTTTTAAAAAACGCACAAGCTCTTTAAAAGTATCTCAAAGCAGATTTATCTGCAAAATGCAGTCTACTTCATCTGAAGCTGAACTGAACCAGAAGACTGCGAGAGACTTGCCTACATTTTGAAAGGAAGCCCCATCTCAATTTAACAGAATTAAGCTTTTCCCTACATTTATGTCTGATAATGAGAAATAGTACACCAGAGACCACAAAGATAGTCCTTAAATCATTTAATTCAAGTGGATAGATTGACTATAAAATAGTTCTCTCTTTCTCTCTCTCTCTCTCCTTCCCTCCCTCCCTCTCTTTACATACATATATTGCAGCAGGTGATCCCAACTTAGTTAAAAGCCTTGCTCATGTCCACATTATTTCTTTAGTCTATTTTTTGCCAAGTCTATGGAAGTCATTTTTGCATACTAAAACTCACAGGACCTCCAGCCAGCATGGTCCATGGCAGAACAGTAGCTTCCCAGCATACACACTGCAAGGGGAAAAAAACACTGATATGACTTCCGTGGAGCAGACTCACCAAATGGCAGGACAGCAAGGGCTATGAGACACAGCAACATCTGACCTCCACAGGCCCTCATGCCTAGAAAGGGCAAAGAATCAGAAAATGAAGAGGAGCTTTCTGCACGTTTTCTGTACATAGTTCCTTTTTTGCTCAGCTGCTCCACCTGAAACAGCATTACATTTCTTCATATCTCCCTTTCCAACCCAAACATCTGTCTATCCACTCTCATTCACCAACTGAACCAATTGTACCCTTCAAAAAGTCATTTTAAGGGATCCAGCACTTTCCACTCACTGTTATCCAGGCGTTCTGTTTCTTCCTGCTGCAAATACTGTCTCTTCCCCCTTCAACTGGTCCCCTGCTTTGGCCGGAGTATGCAGCCGCTCCCAATCCCAGCAAATGTTCCACTTTGGCTTGTCTTCAACACTGAACTTCAAGAAAGAAGTAGTAGGATTTGCTGCCATCATACAAATGGAATGAAGAGAAAGAAGGGGGAGAAGTGTCCCATGACCTCATTTCAAAATGTATTGTAACTCCAGAAGAATCAACTCCTCCTATTCCCTCTGGATGGAGGATGGCCAGAGATGGAGTCCCACTGTCTGCCCTACATGTTTGTCCTGTTCCATCCTGTCCATAGGATGATGGAGGGTCACTTATTTTTCTACATGAATCCTGAAGGACATGGCTTCTTCTTGGGGTGGAAAAGAGTTTAAATAAATCCAGAGCTTCCTTTCAGTCCAGTGGACAGTTTGTCCCTGGATGCGAGGATAGTAATTTACAGTGTTATTGACTTTTGTCATCAAAACAATCTCCACTAGGATTTCTGCTTCAAGAACCAAAATGCATCTATGGTCACATCAGGGGCAGTTCAACCCATTACGCAAAGTAAGCATTTGCAGTATAGTTGATTTTGCCCAGGAGCGCTCTTGAGGCGCTCTTGGGGGAAAACAGACCTTGACATATGTAAGTTGTAGTTACTGGGATGTATAGTTCCCCTACAATCAAAGAGCATTCTGAACTCCATCAATGATGGAATTGAACCAAATATGGCACACAGAACTCCCACGATGAACAGAAAATATATATATCAATGATTGGTTGGGGGGGGGGGGGCGGACAAAATACTGTTTGTTTACCATTGAAAATTACCTAGGGCTGCCTCTGGGTCACATCTGAACTGCAGTGAGATGGTCACTTCCAATGGTGGGGTTTGAGAACCATTAGCATGCCCAGTTCTTGAAATACAATAGTCTGACACCTGGAGTACTGTAGAGGTGTGTCCCCAGTTAGTAACACTTGTAAAGATGTGGTGATGAAGCTCATATTCAGGAGTGAAATCTAAAGGCAAGATAAAACAGATTCCTCAGAAAGGTAAACCAGATTCCTCTCTGTGATTGCATCTCCTTCTATGAACCGGCACGAACTATAAGAAGCCCTCCTTACACTCCCACCCCCGTCACAAGTACGGTTGGTGGGAACGAGAGAGAGAGCCTTCTCGGTGGTGGCCCCCCACTTCTGGAATGCCCTCCCCAAGGAAATTAGGCAGGCCCCATCCCTCCCCACCTTTCATAAGAGCTTGGAGACCTGGTGGTTTCAACAAGCCTTTGAGAATGACCAGTTCTAGCTCTGCCCCAAACCATTGTTGAATATGGCCTTATACTTCCTACCGATTACCCCAGTCATCCCTCTAATAGGCCCCAGAAATGAGCAGCCACAGACCCGTACTTGCTATTGTTGTTAGCCTGTTATAGCACTGTACTTAATTCCTGGTCCCCTCATATTTTGAGTTTGCACTCCCCTGGCCCCAGCCTTTTAATTGCTCTGAACAGGCAGGATTATTTTTAATATATATGTGTTATTGTGATAATTTTATGCTTATGTTGTTTTGTTAATTTTATGTCATGTAATTTTATGTTAAGTAAACAGCATGACATAATCAAAGAATCTATGATTCTATGACTCTATGATTATGTCATGCTGTTTACTTTGTATGTTTTAGTGATGTTACTTGGAAACCGTCCTGAGTCCCCTCAGGGAGATAGAGCGGTATATAAATAAATAATAATATTTATTATTATTATTATTATTATTATTATTATTATTATTATTATTAGAAATACAACAAGATGAGTCCACAGCAGACGCTCTGCTGGCTGTTGAATTGGATCACATGTCAGACACTTCCCAAAGACTGTGTTATGTATCAGCGAATAATGCGTGCAGAGTCCAGTACGGTAGCCTTCCGCAGCTAGCAGATAGTAATTTTGTCAGCAACAATTGTGTTTAAGTGCAAGCCAAGGTCTTTAGGCACTGCAACCAGTGTGCCAATCACCACTGGGACCACCTTTACTGGCTTGTGCCAGAGTCTTTGCAGTTCGATCTTTAAATCCTCATATCGTGTCAGCTTTTCCAGTTGTTTCTCTGCAATCCTGTCGTCACCTGGAATTGCGACATCGACGATCCATACCTTGTTTTTAACACGATTGTGAGGTCAGGAGTATTATGCTCCAAAACTCTGTCTGTCTTAATCCAGAAGTCCCAGAGGAGTTCATTCTCGTGATGATGATGATGATGATTATTATTATTATTATTATTTGTCCATGCAAACCAGGGATGACATTCTTCTGCTATAGTGTTAACTTTAAAAATAACTTCTTATCTCTAATCAGTGTTCAAAGTATTTACATTGTAAACACCTTACATAAAATTGAGCTGTACTTTGCAAGTCAGAAATTTTCGCAAGGAGGGAAGATGGTGCACTGGGGCTTATTCATAGGTTGAAAGATAAACATAAACTTGTACTATGCTTCGTATGATTGCTGTTAAAAGGTCAGAGGTACTTTGATTGTGCTTTTCCTGCATGGGAAGGGTTTGGACTAGATGGCCCATCTGGTCTCTTCCAACTCTACGATTCTATGATTCTGTGTCTAAATTACTGAATTACAAGTGCCCTACTGAGTCATTAGTGCTGGAATATCCCCCCTAAAACCCTTCCCAAACTTGGAATTTGTCCAATGAGTCTAAAAGATTCCATAAATTTAATTTAGGAAGTTATAAGTACTGCATAGAGGGTCTTCAAGGCCAAATTGTCTTGAGCAGCTCAGAAACTTCTCTTTAAGAGAACTTTGCCCACCGCGCTAACACTCTACGGTTATTGGAAGATTTATTTTGCTATGTTTAAATCTATTTAGGATCTGGGATTTTATTTTTGTCCTTGCAATTTTTATTAGTTAAAAAAAATTAATGTATTGTTTTTGTAAACTAACATAAAGTGACTCATGCTTATTTGTCAGGATGTTAATGAAGTGAGAGAGAGATGCAATGGCCTTATTTTCTGCTGGCCAAAACCAAGGGATTCAAATCACAAGAAAATAAATTCCACCTACAGATTATGAAGAATTCCTTTACTGTAAGAATTGTTTAACTGTGAAACTGGCTGACCGAGTGAGGGTGGTCTCTCCTTCTTTGAATGTTTTTAAACAGAGGTTGTGTATTTTTGCTCTTGCAAGGAGTTGGACTAGATGGTTCTTGGGGTTCTTTCCACCTCTATTTTTTTTTTGTTGTGTCAGGAGCAACTTGAGAAACTGCAAGTTGCTTCTGGTGTGAGAGAATTGACCGTCTGCAAGGATGTTGCCCAGGGGATGCCCGAATGTTTTTGATGGGAGGTGTGCTGTCGCACGCTGGGCCTGTGCATAAGGCTGTAGACAGGACATAAATTCTGTGTGTCCAACAGGACGCTGGGCCTGCCTCAGATTAAAAGCCCTTGGATTCCCCCAAAACAGAGTCTTTAGATTGCTGAAAGGTTCAATACAGTTCTTTATTAATGAAAACAAACAGGTACTTTAAGGCTTTCTTAACAGTCTATTGGCTCTCTCTCTCAATCTTGTCCACAGGGAACAGGCACTATCTTCATAACTATAACTAATGGGGAAATCCTTAACTTCTAATCTGGGCAGTCTATCTTTGCCTCTGTTGGCGTGGAGCCCTTGCACCCGGTACCAACTGCTTCTGGCTTCCGCGAGTGACCCTTACCAAGCAGAGCTTTGTAGACTTCCAGGGGAAAAAGAACTCAGGTTTCCATGATGGCTGACTGAAGTCCTTCAGTGAAGGAGCTGTAGGGCTGTATAACCCCTGCCAAGCTACGGGACCTTCCTCCCCGGCCAAGCGGTAGGGCTGTATATCTCCCCAGCCAAGCTGTAGCCTTTTCTCCCTGGCCAAGCGGTAGAAGACGAAGCTTTCTACAGGAGCTCTTAGTTTTATGTCCTCCATGAAAGGCTTCTCTGTGTGGACTAACCTAAAATGGCTCCTATTCCCTCCAAAACCCAAAAAGGGGCGGGACCAGGGAAACTAACGATAATTGACAGGTGGCTTGCCCTATGATTGCAGCCAAAAGAAGCCACCTATCTGCAGAGTCCCTGAAACTTAGGACTACAACAAACATTCAATGCAAAGCAAACAAAATTGGAGCTCCTGGTACAGCTGTACCTGCACAGGAGGCTTCTTTCATGTCCTCCCGAATTCTCTCATGTCCCCGCATGGAGAGCTGGAGCTGATAGAGGGAGCTCATCCACGCTCTCCCTGAATTCGAACCTGCGACCTGTCGGTCTTCAGTCCCACTTAACCCACTGCGCCACCGGGGGCTCCACCTCTATGATTCTATTAAATAAATACATGTTAATCTTTCATTGCCACCAAGCAATACCATCCAAGCATGATGTCAACAATTACATGCAGAGTAGGCAACTAGAGGATGTGAGCAAAACCACTATCACCCAGTGGGTGTCTCCACTAGGTGACCACATACCCTTTCTTACTGAGGCTAGTCCTCAGGTAGAAGGAAAAAAACAGGGACAATCTTTCTTTTGAATGGTGTACTTTCTTTGAAGGGTTGTCTGACCCAGATCCAGTTTAAAAATAAAAACCCATAAAGAGATATGACAGGAGCCTTGAAGCTCTCTCGCCCACATTTAACACCTGGACAGCAGGTTCAAACTGGCACATAGGTCCTGTGGCCACAGTCTTTCCTCCTCAAGTAAGGGCTACTGCAGTTCTTTTATGAAATCAATTATAACTTTGTACACAGAACTTAACATATATAATTTATGCAGATCAGCACCCCTTTTATCCTACTTTTGTGTTACATGTTCTTTTTAAAATTTCAGTGGCCTCCCCAATCTGTATATGTTTTCAACTTACTTAACAGACACGTGATTAATCCTCTATGCCATTTTCCAGCCACTTTTTAAGATTCCCAGTTCTTTATTTTTTGTCACACCATTTCCCCCTGCTTACTACAAACACTGCTAATAGAGTTCAGCATGCAAAAGTAGTTTGCACTCAATTCATCAGCAGGATAAGGAAGGGGCAGAATCTTGCTCTTTTCCGGTGGCTCACCCAAAACTAAGCTGCTGTAGCTTCTCCTGGATTGTGTTTTCTTTTTCATTAA